GACATAGCATTTGCGGTATGCAAAATGTCTAGGTTCACGAGTAACCTGTGTATCGAACATTGGAATGTAATTGGAAGAGTACTTGGTTATCTTAAAAGAACCATTAACTTGGGTTTGTCATATAATGACTATCCGACTGTACTTGAAGGGTACTCTGATGCAAGTTGGATAACAAGTGCAAGTGATAATAAATCTACATCTGGGTGGATTTTTACAATTGCAGGAGGAGCCGTCTCTTGGGCTTCTAAGAAACGTGCATAACTCACTCTACGATGGAGAGTGAGTTTATAGCACTTGCCGCTACTGGCAAAGAAGCGGAATGACTAAGAAATCTATTGTTTGATATTGAGTTGTGGCCACAACCGATGCCATATATTTCTTTGTACTATGATAGTGAAGCTACTTTGTCTAGAGCTTATAACAAGGTTTATAATGGAAAATCTAGACATATTAGCTTGAGATATGAATATGTTAAACAATTAATAACCGATGGTGTTATTAATATTGTTTATGTTAGGACAAACAAGAACCTAGCGGATCCTTTGACGAAAGGTCTTTCAAGAGACTTAGTCAAAGAAACATCTAGTGGAATGGGACTGAAACCTTTCTTTGAAAGAGTCACCAATGATGGTAACCCAATTATGTAATAGTTGTACCGCTATTCCATAGTTAAATGGGTAAGAACAAATCATTGTTATGTGACCGAGTTAGCACCGAATTTTAATTAGTCCCTTCCAGGATATCGGTGCAAAAATAGCTACGTGTGTGAGGTTGAGTTTATACTCTTAATGGAGTTTGAGTCTCATACTAGCTAGAGATATAATTCGAACTTCACCTAAGTGAACATAAGGAATGGTGCCGTTCCTAACAAGACCTTGGTTTAGTCTTGTAAATGTTCATGAATCCAAGATAGAGCACAAGGCCAGAATAGTGCTAAACGATTGGAACAGTTTTTAAATCTGGGATAACACATATGTGATATATTTCCGGTATTTGCTTAAGAGACAAAGTTTAATGCAAAGCGCACTATTGTCTTGTGAATACTTCGAAGTATAGTCACTAAGTAAAGGTTAAAATCGAAAGATACCTTCATGTATGTATGTGTTTATCGTTGTTAATTCTGAAAAAATATTACAATCTAGTGGGGGATTGTTAGAGAGATTGTAATATATCTCTCAATTTCGATATCACAAAATTGGCTTAAAACACATTCGGAAGAGTGGGCGGACACAAGCGCGCGCTGCAGCGCGCAGGAGCGCGCACTGTAGCCTGCGCAAAACAGACCTATCGGGTCTGTTTTTCTAGGCCCGCGTGCTGCAGTGCACTTCTTAGGCGCTGCAGCGCAAATTGTTAACGGAAAATGTGTTTTCGTGTGTTCTAGTGATCTGAAAAGGTCTCGAACCTTTGCATCTATTTGCGATATGTTTTCTCACATATCTGAGCACTTATTAACAATAGAAATAACTATTGATATAAATGCACCAGCATATAAAAGATAACCTTCAAATTTGAAAAGGTATCTTTATGTGAAAGGTTGTAACACTTAAGGAGGATGGATGCATCACTGTCTTTATTTGATGGACTTCAGAAAATACAGATGATGATTGTTCTGGAACTCAATATTTTTGCTGGATATTGTGTTCAATGGTTTGTTGTATCTTGGGGGTAATTTGTCATTTTAAAACTCGTTAGCATCTTTGAGAAGTGAGGGCAAATAAAACCTTAAAAGAAAGTATTTCTATACGCCTCAAACCCTCTTTCTACTTTCTCTATTCTTTTCATCCTCTCAATTCCGAATTTTTCCAACACGTAATACAATCCAAGCTCCTGACGACATTTCCAATGAATCAAATAATTTACAAAAAATAATAAGCATATATAATGGAAGGCACATATTTAAATTACAGAGAACAAAACTCGATTCCAATGGATATTCTCATCTTCTACAAGACCAAAAGCTTCTACTTAAGACTCCACCCACCACAAATCCAGAGGAAAACTTCACAAACTCTCTCTCTCTCTACACACACACACATGTGTGTGTGTGTGTGTGTGTGTATTCCCATGACCACTTCAACAAAGGTCCGTTCAAACTGGCTGTGCACCAACAACTCAAAGAACATGGTCGTGAAAATAGTTCACCCCGGCGGTCACGTTGAGCTGCATGACAGACCAATTCTGGCGGCGGAGATCATGTTCCAGAACCCAAAATGTTACGTGGCTCACCCGCACGTGTTCCAGCAGCCGTGGGCGACGGTTGAGCCAGAGACCATGCTAATGCCCGGACAGAAATTCTACGTGGTGCCCAATAGCACTCTCCGAAAGCTCCAACGTTTCGCTTTGAAATACTCTCCGCTTCACCATCTCCAAACTAGTTCCACCATCCAAGAAGAATCAAAGGAATATGGTGGTGAAAAAAGGGAAAATATTGAAAGCCCATGTTCCGATTTTTCGAGGACAAATAGCAGCGGGAAAGATGTTGAGAAAGACGGCTCCTTGTGTGGTGCCAAGTATTGCCTCTTCTTTTGGGTGCGTAAGGCCAGAGGAAATGGTCATCATGATTTGAGCAATACTGTTGGGTCGTATGATGAGAACAAAAGGCTTATAAGTAAGAGAACCATGAGTATTCACTGTTCTTCGAGAAATGAGATGAGAGGGAATTATAAGCGTTTTGCAATTCTTAATCAGAATTGGCAGCCAAATCTGGAGAGCATCTCTGAAGAATAATCTTTTTTTTTCCCTCTTAACAAGCACGTATGTAAATTAAAGGGAATACTATTGAATACTTAATGGCAATTACATATATATATATATGTAGATATATTCTGACATATCTTTTTGTAGTTAAATCTTTTTTTTTTTTTCCATGTTTCACGTCCCACGTTCTAACTCCTAATTCGAACAGGACTAATAAATAGAGACAATATATATATATATATATTTTTTTTTTTTTTTGCATGAAACTCTTCTAAAATAGATATATATTTTTTTTGCATGAAACTCTTTTTTTTTTACATATCTATTTTTGGTTGGTGGCCACTCACACAAGGTTCTAAAATTGTAACACTTGTCATCTTGATATCCGTTCACATCATTACTAATCCAAGGAATTTTCCATTCTATAGTTTACACCTAGGTTCATTTTTATCCTCAGAAAATTAAAAATGGAGGATAATTACAAAACTCAAGGAAAATCCTTTATTAATCTCAAACAGCTCCCTCCTTTAGATCCAGACAACATCTCCGCCATTTCCTCCAAGGTAAAACATCAACAATTCTTTATTTCCTCTCTCTCTCTCTCTCTCTCTCTCTCTCTCTCTCTCTCTCTCTCTCTCTATGGAATTAATTTTCCGGGGTTCTGTTTTTGTAGATTAATCGAAGCCACATAGAAGAAAGAAATCCGGTTGAAGATGCTGAGAGAAATAAAGCATCGGAATCTTTGAAGGTTGAAGATGCTTCTTTAGGTAACAAAGTGAGCAGACAGATTTCCACTACTAGGAGGAAAACGACAAAGAGGCACAAAGCCCATAAAACTGCTTCCAATAATGAAGGTATGTTTAGAGTCGTTGATTACATTAGAAGGTAAAGTACACAAATATTTTGTAATGTTTAATTGTCGTGATTTTAACTTGTTTGTGAATTTGTACCAATTGGAATGAATTGAATCAATGGTTCTGTCTATGATCAGCTTTACCCCGTTCAATCGGAAGGGTACTTGTTAAATGAAATCTTCGCCCTTTATAAATCCTTCCAATTGCATAGTTGAATATTGGTAGAAAAGCTGTTTCTCTTCTTCTCTTTTCACCCCCTTTTTGGTACAAACACTTTGTTAAAATGTTTGAATTGGAATAAGTACTTTACTAGTTCCAATTCTAAAAAAAAAAAAAAACAATAAAAAAAGGTGAAGAAAGGCCACAGGGAAGGGCAAAATCGGATCTGCACGAGATATGCGCTGCTAACAAATGGCAGCCTCCTTTATTTGAGTTCTGTATGGATGAAGGACCTAGCCACATGAAGACGTAAGCTCAAATTCTACTACTAATTTACCATTAAAAAAGAAAAAGGCATTTTGCATTATATTAGAATATATTGGTTTTGGACTAGGAATTGCAAGTTATATCTCTAATATTAGGACTATTTTTTAGATTATTTTTAGGCAGAAATAGCTACATAGTTTTTTTTTTCTGAAAAGATTCATGTTAAATAGTATCTTTCAAAATTTTTATGGTAATATTTAGGGATTTCAGCACAAATGGTCTTTTTTAAGGGTGTTTTTTTATTTTTATAAATGACCAAAGTTTTATAAAATTGTAAAAATAGCCGTTTTCATTAACTTAGTAGTTAATCATTGATTGACTCAGTGGTGATTGACTTAGCCAATCACTGATTAACTCGATTATTCTTTATTATTAATCAACATTAGTTAATAATTAATTAAAATCAACTAGTAATAATTAATTTCAATCAATAAATTACATGTTTATTAAGGATAAACCGTTGATAAATTAATAATGAATCAGTCAATCATGATTCACCATGGGTCAATCACTGATTGATTGTGATCCATTGGTCAATCACTGATTGACTCATGTAAACAAAACGACCATTTTCGTAAAATAAAAAAAGTTCGGCCATTTATGAATAGAGATGATTAAAAAAGGCCACCCAGCACAATTTTCCTAATATTTACAGTAAATGATTCATTTGCTAAGCATAGTTACGACATTTACCTTATAAATTTGCTTCATATATGAATCATTTACTGTAAATATGTTACTTATCATAAATATTTTTAAAAATGTCATGTCTGCTGTAATTTGTGTTATTTTTAAATAAAATGTATACAGGCTCACATTCAAGGTAATGGTTGAGATAAGAGAAGGCTCGAGTAGTACTGTCTTAGAATGCTTCAGCGCTCCTCAATCCAGAAAGAAGAGTGCAGTAAACCATGCAGCAGAAGGAGCCTTATGGGGCTTAAAGCATCTTGGTTATTTTTCAAAAAACAGTTGAGTGATTTTATTTTGTTGTCTGTTTTTTGATATCTCAATTTGTTTGTGCAAAAGTAATGTATAGAAAGACTACAATCATCTGCTCAATTCACAAAAAATGCAATCAAATTTTTGTTTTGGGATATGTGGATCAGAATTGTTGTTCACATAGAGTTGAGATGGATGAATGAGGAAAAAATGGCATTCAACAATTTGTCCATTCTGGCAATGAAAAGCAGGATAATATTGCAGAAGTGAAAATAGCAAATCATCGTTGAGAAATGAACGAAATAGTGAATTGTCCACGCAAAGTCGCAGAATTATTCGTGAAAATCTCCATCGCCGACCTCGGTGATCGTCTTGGAAAACCACATATGAATCGGTTCCCAACCCTCGCAATGGAAAAGACTTAGTCACTACACTTCAACATCTTCAAACCAGCTTAGCAAGTGTAGTGTTGCTGAATGGTGTCAATGTCAAGTCCCTTGAGCTTGACAACTGATTCAACGTGCCCTTTGAGTGTGTGAAGCTCCCTTAACCTGAAAAATAAAAGGGTAACGATAAAAGACAGTAAGAAAATCTCCATCGTTCATTTCACTTTCTGTTTACGCAGACAAAAAGCCGAAAATATTACTCCAACAAGTTTTAAGATGCTTAGGGTACTAGTGATCGTGACCTTGCAACTTCGGCGCGCTTTTTAGCTTGTTCAGCGATTTCCGACAGTTCCCTGTAGCTGGTGGCCTTATCAGTAAAGATATCTGATGTTTGTGGAGCCTGCAGCCCATGCAAGGTACGATGAGCCATTGCCCATTGTGCTTCCCTCTCTTCCCTTCCATAGTCCTTCTTTGTTGTGAAAGCAGTCTAAAAAATAGTAACAAAGAGCAGCATTATTCAGAACAAGAACCAAACATGAGGAAAATTTTTTTTTTTCTTTTCCAGATTACTCTTTTACCTTGTTCTGGAGTAAATTATCCCAGGCTTTTCCACTCAATGCGTACCGGATAAAGAACTTGAGAATGTCCAAAGGTATGTAGAAGATGATGCTGTAAACCCATATGATTCCTGCCCATCCCCAGCCAATTCCGCGGATTCTGGCGAATTCCCATTTTGCATACACAGCAATAAGTGTAGCCATCTTCATAAAAAAAAGTAGATAAAAAGTATGAAGGCCTTGCCAAGTAAAGGTTTATTCTTATGAACAACAAACAGAAAAACAGAAAAATTACATGTCAAGTAAGGACCTAAATGTTGTTGTGACTCACCAGTTGTGCTGCAAGGAATGCAGCCACTAGAAGTAGACCAGGGCGTTCGACGTAAGACCAGCTTCGAGACCTCGTAACGAAGATAAGAGCCTGACTCACAATGCTCACTTGAAGGTAAATAGCTGCAGTGAGTTCGGCTTCACTGTTCCTGATAGATTTTACTCCAAACCTTTCCTGCAAATTTTTGAGTGAGTAAAAATTTGTCAAGTTCCATTCTAAAATTCGAAGCAATTTTTTCGTGTAATTTGATTCTACCGTGAAGAAGTCGGAACTCTGAGCGAGCCAGAAGAAAACAACAGTCATGACAGCCAAGTACGTTCCGAGAACTGTGCCGGTGGCAAAGATCTCTCTGAGCTTCCATGAGTCAGGAAGAGGAGATGGCTTCACTCTGTCTTTGGAGATAGTCATGATCGTGCCGTCATTGAGAATGGCGATGATCAGGACCATAAAGGGTGAGAAATCAAACTTCCAGATGAGAGCAAGGAGCAAAAATCCGAGCACAATTCGAATGGTTATCGAAACGGCATAGATAGTGTAGTTCTTCATTCTCTGGAAGATGGCTCGGCTTGTCAACACGGCGCTGATAATCACACTCAATCCCGGCTCGGTCAGGACAATGTCTGACGCGCTCCTGGCTGCATCAGTTGCGTCGGCCACAGCGATCCCGATGTCTGCCTTCTTCAGAGCTGGTGCATCGTTCACACCATCTCCAGTCATACCACATATGTGGTTCTTCTCTTGCAGCTTCTTCACAATCTCATATTTGTGCTCTGCATGTACTCATTCTGCTCAGTCCAATTTATCAAACACTTTCGAACTTGTACCAAAATGCAATATTTTCCAAAGTATTGATTGTAGAGACTCTATTGATGCAACATCTCGAGAAGAAAAAAAAAAAAAAAAGAATTACCAGGGAAGACACCAGCAAAGCCATCAGCCTTCTCAATAAGCTCATCAACAGGGACGCCAGCAGTGGATTCATCCTTGCTTTCACCAAGGAGAGTAGAAGAAGGATACATGTTTGTTCCCATGCCGAGCCTGCGACCAGTCTCCTTTCCGATGGCTAGCTGGTCACCGGTGATCATCTTGACATTGACACCAAGATCAAGGGCTCGCCTGATGGTCTCTGCGCTGTCATGCCTCGGAGGATCAAAAAGAGGCAACAGACCAACAAACTGCCATGGCCCTCCTGCACTTTCCTTGGTCTTTTCCGGCACAGTCTATTAAAAAAATAAAATACCAACAATCAGCTTAAAGTGAGTCATTTGTATTAAACACGATTCACATAGAAAAGAAAAGAGAAAAATCTCACTTGTCTAGCAACAGCGAGAGAGCGAAGACCACGTTCAGCGAACTTGCTGATAATGGCATTGGCTTTCTTGCTTGTGTCACCCCGGAGTTTGCAGAGCTCAATGATCTTAAAAAAAAAAAAAAAATGATGGAATCAAACGATAAGAAATGGATTGAATTAAACAAAATATGATCACTATTTATAATTATAGAGTATCCATGGATGATCTAATTAATGTACCTGTTCTGGTGCACCTTTGCTGGCCCGGTGCCAATTGCCTTTAGAGTCAATGTAAGTTATGGCTGTGCGCTTGTCCACTGGGTTAAAGGGCAAGAAGTGGACCTCAGTAATACCTTCTCTTGCCTGTTCAGAGCACCAAACCAGATGAAATCTTGTTTGACATGTTCTATAAGAGAACTACATAAACTATATGAAAGGCATAAGCTCAAAAGAATAGAAAGAAGCACGGAGCACAAGTCGAAACAAAATATTTTTACGCACTTTTGCCAAATACACTACTTAATTATATTAGGAAAAAAAGAAATACTTTTTAAAAGTAGTGTCAAACTGGCACTAAGTTTATAATTTTTATGTATGAATAATGCTAACAGCACTAGTGGTATCTAGCACAATATACTGATAGAAGGTGGATCTTACAGTATGAACTCTACAAATGGAATCACCTTCTATTTAGCTGTGGTGTGCCTCAAGCATTTTTTTTTAATGTACATACCTCCTTGGGGTCGCCCAACATTCCGACAATACAAGCATCAATAGCATCCTGATTCTCAACTCTAGAAGCCCTTGCCCCAAGCAAAATCAGATCGTCCTTGTCCACATCCTTCACAAAGACCTGCAAAAATCAAAGGGACTAGTACTAGTTCAGTAACTAATAAATGTTGCGGAATTCCCTAGCTATGTGATGTAATGAGACTCCTCATGGTTAATGACAAACCTCAATCATGTTTTTGTCTACTGTGAGCTTGTTGAGAGTGAGAGTTCCGGTCTTGTCACTGCAAAGGACATCCATTCCAGCCATCTCCTCAATTGCCGTCATCCTCTTGGTAATGGCACCTTGCTGCGAAAGGCGGTGGGAGCCAATGGCCATCGTCACTGACAAGACCGTTGGCATGGCAATCGGAATCCCTCCGATGAGAAGCACCAACAGATTGTTGATGCCGTCCCTGTACTTCCTCTTCTGAATTGGGTACATCACCACTAGCTCTATTACCATTCCCAACGCTATTGAGCATATGCAAAAGTTTCCAATCGCAGTCAAAACCTGACAAATTAAGAGGGAGG